TAGTTGTTCGCTTGTTTAAGGAAGATGGTGAAGTTGACTATGATTGCTCGTGTAACGGATGGCCTTCCATTAGCTGAGGGGCTGGATGATAGCCGTGATGTTCCAGATGCTGATTACTACAAACAGCAAGTCAAGTCCTTATTCAAGAACCTCTCTATGGGCCATAATGAGGCATCAAGGATGTCCATTGAAAGTGGACCTTACATTTTCCAGTATCCTCTTATTGTTTCCATATTGTTTTTATTTACAGTAATAATTATATCTCTTCGGATGCTAAATGGAAATTTCTGTAAATAATTAGTAATAACTTCTTTGTTCAACAAGATGACTGCAAGATAAGGAAGTTCATGCACTTACTGGTCTTTTCCTAATAGCCTCATTGAGTTACCTATGCTCAAACTATGATTCCTCGATTTTCCTCTCTAGGAAAGAAAAAGCTTTCTTTACAAACTTGGTGAATCTTACTTCTTTTAGTTTAGGGGCGGGAGCGGAGTTGTTAGGAACTTCTCGAACATTCAGTTGGCCCTATTTCTGCTCTTCTGCCAACTTGTAATGAGTCATCATCGCAATTCTATGTGGAAACAGTCTACAGAGTTTTTCAATTTGAAGATTCCATTTAGGATGCCTATCAAAAGAAGCAAAATCTGTATTGTAGTTTTATTTTTGTAATTTAAAGAAAACTCTATGATGGACTCTGTTATTCTTATTGTTGTGAGTTTCCGGGAAAACTAGGATCAGGTACTAAACAATTAATGAGGTTTCCTCCAGCTTAATTCTTTTGATAAGTGAAATTCCCATATTGGATGTATATATGCTGATAAATATGGATGATGCAGTTAAAAATAAAACCAACAAAAGGAACAAAAAACAAGTTTGTCGATATCGCTTATGCAGATCTATTTCTTTTGTCTGCTTAGTAGCTTCTCCACTTGATATGCATTTAATATGTTTTATAAGCACTTGTTGCTAATTCTTTTCTGGATTTATGGATAGCACCAAAGGACAAGGGAGGCGTAGTCTAGTGGAAAGGGCTTCCAACTTTAATCATGAGCTTGGAGGTTCAGGTCACCAAGGGAGCACTGTGGGAACCACTGTTTATATCCTGGGATGGAGGATTGGGAGTTATAATACCCAAAAGAAAATAACCAAGAGAATAATAAATATCACCAAGCTTCTATTAAAATTTAGGACCATCAGAATGTGAAATCTTTGGGATGATGTGGATTGTGACTTTCCAAGTTTTCTCTGTTGCTGCTGCTATTTCATTTGCTTACTTTCTAAATCACCACTAGCTCTACTTTGTGTCCTCTCAACCCAATTGTAAATGTGCCTTATGGGAAATGTGAATGTACTGTTCTCTTAACCCAAGTTCTCAGCTATATCATTGAAGGGCGCGTTTGCTATCTGACAATGTGTGATCGCTCTTATCCAAAGAAACTTGCCTTTCAGTACCTAGAAGACCTTAAGACGGAGTTTGAGCGTGTCAATGGAAGTCAAATTGAAACTGCTGCTAGACCTTATGCCTTTATCAAATTTGGTAAGCATTTTCCTTTACACTATCCTTTTTCAATTTTCCAATTTTCTTTTGTTAAAAACTAATTTTCTGTTCTTCCAATATATTATTTTCCCTATTTTTAAAAGATACATTCATACAGAAGACGAAGAAACTGTACCAGGATACCAGAACTCAACGCAATGTTGCAAAGTTGAATGATGAACTTTATGAAGTTCATCAGATAATGACTCGAAATGTACAAGAAGTTCTTGGTGTTGGTGAAAAATTGGACCGTAAGTTTCTCATTCCAACATTTTTCTGAGCTCTTTATCAGTAAATCTTTTGCAAATTCATTTAAAATGATTGGTATGTTTCATGTCAGCCTGTTGAATTCTAGAATACGATATGAAGTGCTCCAACTTAACCCCCCCCCTCC